AACGAAAGAGTGCAAAGCACATTACAGATGGTCAATAAATATTTTTACACTAAAAGTAATACCATGGTTTTAGAAGAACCACTTATTTTGTTAAAGAGCAAAATTATGTTTAAGTTTTCCATCTGACTGGATGGGGCAACATAGAATAACCAATGAGAAAACCCATCGAGTTAATAAGAATGGTATCTTGACTGAAGAAATAGTACTAAGATTTTTGGAAGTACCATAGCCACAGTAGCAGAGGCACATAACAGTCAGAAGGAGGCTTGCACACACTGTGAGGAGCCAGTGTGACATCAAGACAGAAAATGGACTCTATTCCACTTGGAAAAGATGTGTCCATGGCCTTCTCTAAAGGCTCATCAACATATCTTGAGGTGATGGCCATGCGTTCCAGCTCTCCTGAAAGTGATGCAGGCATAAATATCAGGGGATCTCATTATGGTACTGTAGTACAGCACTGTCTCATGCCAGTCTGTTTCTCCTGCATCTGCAGTAGTCACTTTTACAGCATCATAGCACTCCTGGGGCTACAAGAGGGAGAATATGGAAAACTAAAGGTCACAGAACTTACACTAACAAGGGAAGCTCTTATATTATATAAAAACCGCTTACAAAAGGCAGTTTATTGACAAATAAATGCTTTATACATTCAGGTTTTTCCCCACCTCTCAACAGTGATGGTTCCCAAAGAAAAGACTCAGTAGTGAAGACAAGACCACACACATTTTTCCTTTTCTTTCTGCATTAGTTTGAGACACTGAAAATCAGAACCTGCAGATGAGCGTGTCGTGTAAATGGGAGCAATGGACTGGACCTGGGGACTTGAGGTGGGGCCTGGATAGAGAGCAACACAAAGAAGTGATTTTTGCTGCTGCTGTGGACAGTAAGGGAGGGCATGAAAAAGGTTACAGCAGACATGACCAACTCTATGAAGGGCCTGTCAGGAACACAGTACAGGAATCCAAAACAGAGACAAACCGCAATTCTGCCAACGTGTAAACAAGGAAAAGCATTTCACAGATTCAAAGTTCAAGGGGAGTAAACGTCTTTAAATTATTTTATCAGTTCAACCCTGATTTAAAAGTATGGCTAGCACAAACACAGAAGCTGCAGTGTGGGCATTCCAAGGGAGCCGTGGTCTCCAGAGAAGCTGTACTCCAGGCCGCCTCCCTTCTAGAGATGCTCCACAAAAGGATGCTGTGGCTCCTGCATTCCCTCTCAGTCTTTCTGTTCCATACTCCTGGAATATCCTGCCAACTGTTTTACCCTTTGGTGTCTGCAGTTCCGGCTGCTATAGATTTAGACGTGGAGAGACTGGGGGAGGGAAGGCAAATTCTCGAAGGATGCTCCTGGCCACTTCCACGTTATTCTGGGCAATCTCTAAGGCTCTTTTCACCTCTTCAAAGGCATACCCCTCTCCCATGAGTTTTGCAATTTTTGCATCAACATTTTCCAAAGCTGCCTCGGGCCCAAGGGGTTTCCTGTGATGAATTTCCGGTGCAGTCCTGCGGGGTCGTGGCTTGGGGGGTCTAGCTGGTGCTTGTGAACCATCTGTGGAGATTTTCCAAGACAGACACCAATGAAACAGTGAGATGAAAATGAATACTATAGGACACAACAGTGTTATATCACTTTTTTTTTTGATTAAATACTCGTAGTGAGAAATACACATGCATCTGTCTGTCTAAGGGGTAACACAGATTTACCAAGATATGAAAAAGGGAAAAATACACTCATCAATACAGGATATGGTAAACCTAGTTGTAGGGTCCTTGGAAGCTGTGGCCTGATCACACACTGCTTCACAACACCTGATCACACACCACTGCTTCACACCACCTGATCACACACTGCTTCACACCACCTGATCACACACTGCTTCACACCATCTGATCACACACTGCTTCACACCATCTGATCCTGTCTTCACCACCCAAGAGAGCTCAAGCCCCTCCTCCATTCCTTTCAACAGGTCAAGTCAGCATATAAGAAGTACCCACTGCAAATACTATTTTCCATTTTCTCAACAATACTTTTATTTTCTGGCTAGCTTATTGTGAAGTGGAAAATGTTACCTCATTTTAAAAATTAGAATGTGTTGGGAGAATGTAGTAGTTTAACTGAAAAATTTACATTATTTTTCAGGTCACACAAGAGATACATAAAAGGAAAAATAAAAACAAACAAACAACAACAAAATAGTCAAAGCCCAAAGCCCAGAGTAAAAGTAAAAGGCCAAGATCTGTTTAGTCATCTACTATGGCATAGCCTACTCCAAGAGGAAGAGAGTGGAGAGGCCCCTTCTAAAGGGGATGCTTTCCCTGTGACCCAATAAAAGAATGCAGAATAGCCCCCAAATGTTCTCTGTCTGACTCATGTTCTGGTTATTCTGAACTATTTTGATAAATATACTGTGTTGGCTCTCCTCCTATCTGAGTTTTCATATTAATAATGCTGAATTTCACTGATACTAAGGAAAAATAAGCTGAAGAGAGCAGATGGTTTGACTCTAAGAGTCAACAAATTCAGCAAACTAAATGTGGCTTTGCGCAAGTAAACATGTTAGATTCCGACACATGAACTTTTGCCCAAGAAGATGCAAACACTGAGAAATCAGGAGGAGACAGGCTTATGGTTTAGGCCCCTGATGATAATTACTTTTTTCTTTCTTTCATGCACTTTTTTAATGTGGGAGGCTGCATGTGTAGTAGGTGTGTACATGTTTGTGTGTGTCACAGTGGGTACACATGTGCCATGACCCACATGTGGCGGTCATAGGGCAATCTTGGGTGTCAATCCTTGCCTGCCACCTTGTTTGAGGCAGGGTCTCTTGTTTAACCTCTGTATACATCAGGCTGGCTGGCCTACAAACTTCTGCAAATTCCACATTCTTGTTCCCATTTCACTGCAGGGAACTGAAATTACAGATGCATTCTAACATCCGGATTCAAGAGAGTTCTGGGATTCCAAACTCAGGCCCTTACAGCTATATGGAAAGAAATATCTACTGAGCCACTGACCCATCCCTGATAATAGTTGCTTAAAGTGAAATCAATAACATTGGTACCCATGAACAAGCAAGACTCTTGAGAGCAAAGGAAATTAGAGACTCATGTAAAGAACATATAATTTCTGGGCCTTGCCAAAATCCATATTGGCTTTGCATTTATAATTAATTAAACTATATATCCCTGAACAGTACCTAGGCCCTCACCACTTACTGGTTGGAGAACAGTTGCTGCAAGCTCCTCACAACTGCTGAAGACACTAATGTCTTAGGACCTTGCTAGAAGTAGAATTCACAACAACAGGGCCTCTGCTCATTTCCACCCTCCCAACACAATACACAACAGGTAATACCACTCCAATTTCAGGAGTATCTATATATTGAGACCCCCAGTTTCTGCTGCTCATATCTCCTTGCCTGGTGAACGGCTAGTGTCTCTGTTTTTGTGTGATGCAGAGACAGCTGGTCTACCTGATTTTAATAAGGAATATACAACATCCAATCTCACTAATGCCTGCTGCTTCAGAATCTGGGATGTGGAAGGGAGACTTGGTGACCAGCTAGAGTCAAAACCAACACTGTATAATAAACTAATGCCCAAGGTTTAGGGAACATTGCAGCAGAGAATCATGGAAAGATGGCAAGAGCCAGAAGACCAGGATGCCCGCTGTGAGACAGTGTCTTTTATGTATGAAAGACAAAGCTGCACCCATCAGATCTCAAACATTTACAGTTACCTAGACAAGCCTTGCATAATGACAAGAGGTGATAGGCCACTGTGAATAGGGGAAACCTACAAGGCCCCACTCTTAATAAGACTACCAAACAAAGTAGTAATGACTAGTTAACAAAAAGTGCAAATTCCAAAATAGGAATACAATAATTTTGAGAAACCAAAAAGGTAGCATGTTTCCTCTAGAAGAATCTAACTCTAGCAACAAATTTCAAAGGAAGAAGCACACATAAAATGCGCCCCCACCAAAAGAACTGGAAAGAATGAGTAGAAAAACACATCAGAGCTCCAAGAGACTTGAAATAAACAGGTGAGTGACATGAGGAAGACAATGTGGGCATCTGAATAAGAAATTGAAAATGAGGTAAAGAAAAATAGCCAAGCAGGTCTTAGACATGAAGAGTTCAGAATGGAAATGGCAGCAGTATCAAGGGGAGGAAGTGTGAACTTTAAGACATTTTTCAAAATGCTCTATTCAGGCCAACAACCAAAGAATCATAAAGCACTCTAGATCTTGGGCACACTAGCAAATGAAAAATAAAACAAACCAACAAAAAAACCAAATCTACATTTTTGGGATACTCAAATTCAAGAAGAAAAATGTTGTCAGAGGTGATGGCAACCAATGAATAACAGCAAAAGCTTCCATCATCTTAGAAGACACAGAAATTGAGGAAGAGGAAGCATATAGAATACCAAATAAACATGATCAGAAAAATCATCACCACAGCTGATTACAGTCGAACTGTCAAGAGTATATACCACAAAGAATTTAAAATCTACCATTGAAAAAGGCTAAAGTCACATTTAAGGGCACTCCATTAGAGTAACAGTGATTTCTGAGCAAAAACTTTATAGGCTAGGAAAGCATGAAGTGATATATTCAGATTCTTGAGGGAAAATAATATTTGGCATAATTACCATACAAAGATGGCAATCATTGAGAAAATCTGTGATTACTAGAGAAAGCTTCCAGAAGATGTATAAGAAGCCCTGCATCACGAGTGAAAAAAATATAATCACCATCATGAAAGCAGATGTAAGGTAAACCACACTTAAGAGGAGACAGAGCACAAAGCATGTTGCAAACACAGTGAACTGGCAAAAAAAGGCAAACAAAGCCACAGGCCCAAGAACGTTGCAAACACACACATGCAGGAACGCATGCATGGACACACGCACGAATGTACACACACACACACACACACACACACACACACACACACACACACACAGTGGATAGTAAAACAATTTCCAACAATAGGTCACCTAAACAAGGTCCAACAATAGGTCGGGAGCTAGTGAAGTCCTCAGAGAATGTGTATTGTTTGATATGGGCATGGTCATGTCAAGGACTCCAAACCCTCAGCCCCACAGGAGGCTCACAAGGCTGAGGAAGCATTCCTTGAGTCTGAATGTGAATGTTGACCACGTGTGCAGCACACATCAACTGCAGCTTTCTCTCTCTAGGTGTTTAGTCTGAAACTGTTCCCCTACAGAAACTGTTCCTATGGAGATGAGCTACACCTGTTTCTGTGTTCAGCTTTATATGATAACCCTTCCCCCACCGCCCTGTTCAACTGTATATAAGAAACACATGGAGTGTCAGAGTGCTGCAGCTTCATCAGAGAGCCCCGGCTACCTGATCTCAGATTTTCTGTATATGTCTCTCTCTCTCTCTCTCTCTCTCTCTCTCTCTCTCTCTCTCTCTCTCTCTCTCTCTGTGTGTGTGTGTGTGTGTGTGTGTGTGTGTGTGTGTGTCTGTCATTTATTCATTCCCATACTTCACCAGTTAAGTCAATCCCTGGAGCCATGCAAACACAAACTCACTTCAACAGAAAATACCCAAACTGGTTGAGAGTAAAAGATGTTGTAAATAGAAGCCTAAGACAGACAGGGCTGGCTACATTTATATTTAAAAATACGCCCAAAGAGACCGAGAAAGTCACCTTACAATTGAACAGGGAAACCATTTGACAAGGCATTATGAGGAATCTATATGAACTCAACATCAGAAGACCCAATTTTATATAACAAAACCATTGGGCATGAAAGGACAGCCATCATTCAATATAGTGATGGTGACAAGATTTCAACATCCTGCATCTGTCCAGATCATCCAGGTAAAGACATTAGCAAACACCAGAGCTCAACTATAATAAGGATAAATAAACTTAGAAGACACCTACAGAATATTCCATCTACCAGCTGCAATACAGTCATTTTATCTGTGCATGACGCTTTCTCTAGAATCAATAGCCCACATTAGGTCACAAAACAAGTATTAACAATTTGAAACAACTGAAGTAATACCCTGTATTCTTTCTGATCCAGATGGAATAAAATTCAAGCCAACCAACAGATTCTGAAAACTGTAAATATTCATAGAGAATGAAGATATTTTTCAACAATCAAGTGGGTCATCAAGAAAGTTGGGAGTGTTCTGGAATTTCTCAAAGATAATAAAAAGGGAAACACACTACAAAAAGCATGCGAAATCCAAGAGGCAGAAGAACGTGCTGTGAAACCTTCACAAAAACAAACACCCAAACCCCAAACTCTAAAATAAATATCCCTGCTCTCTCTAGAACTTAGAAAAGCAAGAAGAAACCGGAACCCATCTTAGTCAAAGGGAGGAAACAACAGGATTTCAGCAGAAGTTAAGTGCTAGAGAGGATTAACAGAACAACAAGCTGGCTCTTTAAAATACCAAACAAAATAAATTTCTAGACAGGATAACTAAGAAAACAAGTAGATATGGTCAGAGATGGAAAAAGAAGCATTACCACCTCAGCCAGAGAAATGCAACTA